TATAGCACATATATACAAGTAGCTACTAAATATTGGCGCATGGTTTATTGACCATATTTTTGCAAAGAGAAACTATTACATATTCAGAAGTTTATTTTTATATACAGTAAAACATATCCATGCATCACTGAAGAAGGTGCTCGAAATGGCCCCCTCGGCAGTGATACAGGCTTCAAGTCTCTTCTCAACTGACATCACCGTGGGCCGCAAGTAAGTGACGTCAACGTGACGCGAGAAGATCATCACACTGGAATTGGCGCACAAATTCTCAAAAGGACAGGCAATTGTTGGATCCGGCTAGCAGGCATCCTGCTCGACGTCGTGCGCACACAAGGAGCCGATTTCCAAAATCTGTCATGATTTAGGCAGGAATTACTTCCGACACCGAGACACCGTTTGTCTTTGTGGACAAATCCGTCAAAATTAACGCCCAGATCTACCAGGAAACAATTTTACGTGATGTGCTCGTTCCATGGACTGTTTCGACCTCCAGCAAATGTCAGTGCCTTCTTCAGCAAGACTAGGCTCCTCCCCATGCCGCAAAATCTACTCTGGTGTTCTGTGACCGCCATTTTCCAGGTTACTGTCACCAGATTTTAAGCCATCTAACTCACTCGATTGTACCCAATGGATTTTGCGGTGTGGGGCTTCCTGCAGCAGAAGATGCCTTCTAGGCAACGTCGAAGTGTGGACTTCCCTGAAGGCTTCCTAGGAGGAAGCGTTGAAGTAACTCGACGAATCTTGTTGCGGCCACGGATGTTTTGAGAGACTTGAAGCCTGTATGCCGCCGGAGGACTTCTTTCCGAGCATCTTCTCTAGTAATGAATTGTTATGTTCTACTCTGTATATAAAGGTAAACCACTGAAGATTTAATAGATTCTCTTTTTGGAAATATGGTCAATTAACCATGCGCCAATATTTAGTAGCCACCCTGTAGATCTGGAGATGAATGAAAAGTGGTTACTACCTTCCTTCAGAACGCGTTCGATGTGATGCACTTCACGGACCGAGAGAAAAACGACTCTGTACAAAGCATGCGCAAGCATCCTGCACATGTCGCGGTTCACATTTCGTCAGAAACCACGTGAAGAGCAGGCTGAAGTCGACAGCATGGACAGTGAGTTCTTTTCACACTCCCGTGCTTTGTTAGAGTCAATGATCAGTGACTGCTTGTTAATGCTGTGAAAAATAGTCAAGTACCAAAGTGAATCACAAGCTTCCGACTGGCTTGGAAGCAAGAATTCCTGGGGCCTTGCCGTCTGTTGGCTAAGATAACCATAACTTACGTCTCACCGGCCGTGCTGCAGACTTTGGAGTTGTTTTGGGTTTGAGTTGGCAGTTTGTCGCGGTAGTAGCAGCTTCAACCACTAATCAACAACGATCGACAGTCCGACAACCGACTTGAGACCTTTGCTAAATCTAGATTTCGCTTTCTGATCAAGGTGGGGGGGGGCGCAAAAAAGCGGAGAGTACCTGGCCAGGTCCCCCCCCCCCCCCTCTTGAAAAAACGATTCCGTTTTCCGTAGTTGGTTTTTTGTTCACTTAGTAGCGGTTTTGTTACGGTAATAAAACCTTACCGCAGCAAAAGCAGTGGGAGAACCAACGGTAAGTGAATCACCACATGGTTCTTCAATTTTGCGATCATTCATATTCAGAACACTGATCTACAATGATTCAGGATTCAGAAAAGTGATAATAGAATTCCAGTCATAAACCATTCCAATTACAGGTCCATCGAAAGCGGCTAAACTGTTCGGTGTCGATGCCGATCAATTCATTTCGGCATTGGTTCGACCGAGAATCAAAAGTCGGAACTGAATGGGTTCATAAAGGGCAGAACAAGCAACAGTGGAATCATCGCCAATCCTCTTCTTAGTGGCTATCCTTACAGTTAACACCCCATACGTGCTTTTTTGACACATCGACGACAGGCCTCCGCGGTACATACATACAGGGGGGGGGGGCAAAAAAAAAAAGACATTTTGCCTATGTCGGACTTCGGCTCTTTTCTTCCTCATAAGATCGGGCCGGGGAAGTCTTAAAGAGCCGGAAAAAGGTGGATAGAGGTGGGTGGAGGAGTGGAGGCCAGCTGTCATCGGTGGGCGGGGCTTGACCAAAGTGGGCGGAGTTTGCGACGAAAATTCATAACTCGGCTCCAAGAAGTCCCGGAGGCCGGGAAAAAGGTGGATGGAGGTGGGTGGAGGAGTGGAGGCCAGCTGTCATCGGTGGGCGGGGCTTGACCAAAGTGGGCGGAGTTTGCGACGAAAATTCATAACTCGGCTCCAAGAAGTCCCGGAGGCGGGAAAAAGGTGGATAGAGGTGGGTGGAGGAGTGGAGCCAAATCATTGGTGGGCGGGAGCATGACCAAAGTGGGCGGAGTTGCCACGAAAATTCATAACTCGGTTCCAAGAAGTCCTGGAGAACGGGAAAAAAGTGGATAGAGGTCAGCAAAGAAAGAGAAGTTAACTGCTACGGTTGGGTGGAGCGTGCGCTAATGTGGGCGGAGTTTGCGCCGAAATTGTAATTCGGCTCCAAGAAGTCCCGGAGGCAGGGAAAAAGGAGATGCGACGAAAATTCAGAACTCGGCTCCAAGAAGTCCTAGAGATAGGGAAAACGGGGTTAGAGGTTGGCGAGGGAAAAGAGATCAGCTGCTTCCAAGAGGTCCCAGAGACCGGTGAAAAAAGGGGTAGAGGTCGGCGAAAGGAAGGGGGCCAAATGCTATTGGTGGGCGGGCACGCACCGAAGTAGGCGGAGTTTGCCACGAGATTTATTGTCCGGAAGCAGTCCGGAGACCGAGAAAAAGAGGATAATGGTTGACGAAGAAAAAGAGGTTGAAAGCCGTCGATGATGGAGCGGATAGAATTTAGCTGAGAATTCAGATATTCGTGGTGTATCAAGCCAAATTTGAAAATTTTCGTCGCACCATCAAAATTCGCCGCAGATCTGTGTTGCGCGCGCAATGCGTGCGGCGCCAACTGGTATGTATATAGAATGAGGCTGAGTGTGCTCGTTCGGTGTTTTTGTAGCCATTGTGGGTGTTATCACAATCACCACATCAGGTTAGAATAATACGTCAACATGAATATAGACCTTACTCTTAAAACGGTCGTTCTCTCTCAGTCTCTCCTTCCCCACCTCCCCCTCCTTATACCCTCCTCTCCGGCGCATGACAGCGCCATGTTCTCCCTTTCTCCTCTCCCCTTCCCTCCCTTTTTCTCTCTCCCTCCCTTCCAGCCTCCCCTTTCTTGCCCCCTTCCCTCTACCCCCTCCACCCTCCCCCCCCCGCTCATCCGGCTGCCACGGCAGCACCATGTAGAATG